TATTGGAGAGAAGCCTTATGAATGTAATCAGTGTTCTAAAGCATTTGCAAGTCACAGTCATCTGCAGTCTTTTTTTTTACCATCAGTTAAATTTTATTGGCTCTAAACAAACAGGATTTTGCAAATGTTCATACCCCATAGGCTCAATAGAGAAAGGTTACTGTAAAATCACAGCTGCAATAAACTGATACTGACTTCCCTGCTTAAGAGATTTCACTTTTCAAGAAAAATGTGATAGGGAGTGGCTATTGTGTGTACTTGTCAGGAAAAATACAGTAAAGCCCCCAATACTCAGTCCAAGATACCTAAGGCTGTAGCTGGATGTCAGCCAACACATTATCCACTAAATGACCTATTAGCTATTGTCTTCGGTACTGCTGTTACACGGGCACTCGAAAGCTTATGTCTGTACGTTGGAACAATTTTCTTTAAAGCAACATTGGTCCAGATATATGTCAATGTAGTTAGCCATCTTCCTTTGGAGGTGTGTACCAGCCATTTTTCTCATGTATCTGTACAATGGAATTATAGGACTGTTGGGCTCGTGCTAGATTATACTGATTCTTATTTGCTCCAAACTGCACCCGGGCTTTGCTTTTCACTAAGGTGGCATTGATCTGCATGATGCCAGATTCTGTTGAGTAGGCACTGCTCCAGCCCTGTTTTGTGAGAAGTTCCGTACACAGTGCTCCTCCACCCAACACGTACCCTCCTGAGAGAATAGGTAACATCACTCGAACAAACGAAGGATCAAATGGAAAATTATCCTTAAAAGAGAAGTTAAGCAAAACATATTCTATGTCTTCTTTTTCTTTTAAGATCTGAAGATCACTGTTCAAAGGACTATCAGAGTCAACCTTATGTAGTTTGACATGCCAGTCATATAAGCTGTCATTTATTAGCTCCACTGAATAAATCCCTGCCTTGTAGCTCTGTGATCTGTAGATGTCCCTGAGATCCTTCATGAGTCTATCTGATGCTTGTACTGACACAGACACTGCACCATTTAAATGGTCTTGCCTTTGAGTCTTCCTGATTTTCTCCAATATTGCCAAATTTTCTTTCTCAATCCCTTTGTCCTCTGACTTTTTCCCATTAATAGGCTCTTCTTCCTTCATCTCATAGTGATCCAAGTCTTCTATATCTTCAGCCATTTCCTCTTCTTCCTCCTCTTCTGAAGATACTTCTTCAGTTGTCCCATTCTGACCCGTGGGTAGTGGTTGATCTAGCATCTCAACATCCAGGTGCTTAGGAAGGTTAAATAATCTGCAGAGGTCACATATCAACCACTTCAATTGGTGACGGAGCGAACTGTTGTTCTTAGTATCTTCTAAGCATTCCAGAACTGATGTCAGATTTGGGTCATCAGAGTCCACAAACCATATTGGTGAAGAAGGTGGGTAAGATTCCGTGATGTTGCAGTGGAGTGTGAGAGGTGAAGGAGGCGAATGAGAGCTGCCAGGCAGCGGTGGTGGAGACACCAGGAACTGGCAGTGCAGCTCGTCCAGCTTCCAGCTGACGATGCCGAATCGCTCGTTGTTCTTGTCAAAGATGGAAGCCAGGAACGTCAGCTCAGCCTTGAGCCCTGACACAGACGTCTTCCCCTCATCTCCAGCAGGAGGGGTGAGGAAAGGTAGCCGGGGCCGGAGCCACCTTCACGGCTGCGACTGCCCCGCCGGGCTGGCCCGGGACGTGCTCCTGTGGCTCCATCTCTCCCAGCCACTTCCGAGCAGGGCTGGAGAATGGCGAGGAGTGCGAGGCCTCAGCGAGCTTGCGGGTGAGCGTGCGGGAGCCAGGCCGGCTGCTGCCTTTGTAACCGACTCCACCCCATCTGCAGTCTTATAAAAGACCCATAAAATAAGGACATATGCTCAACTATGTTCATAGCAGCCTTATTTATAATAGCCAGGAGCTGGAAAGAACCCAGATGTCCTTCAACTGAGGAATGGATTCAAAAAATGTGGTATATTTACACAATGGAGTATTACTCAGCTATTAAAAACAATGAATTCGAGAGGTTCCTAGGTAAATGGATGGAACTAGAAATTATCATCCTGAGTGAGGTAAGCCAATCACAAAAGAACACACATGGTATTCACTCACTGATTATTGGATATTAGCCCAGAACCTTGAAATGCCCAAGATGCAACTCACAGGCCACGTGAAGCCCATAAAGAAGGAAGACCAAGTGAGGGTGATTCGGTCCTTCTTAGAAGGAGCAACAAAATACTCAAGGGAGCAAATATGGAGACAAAGTGAGGGACAGAAACTGAAGGAGGGGCAGTCTCAAGACCACTCCACCTGAGTATCGATCCCATGTGCAATCACCAAAGGTAGGTGCTGATGTGGAAGACAGGAAGTGCATGCTGATAAGAGCCTGATATGGATATCTCCTCAGAGGCCTTCAAGAGTCAGACATATTCAGAGGCAGATGCTCACAACTAGCCATTGAACTGATCATGGGTTTCTCAATAGAGGAGTTAGAGTGAAGACTGAAGGAGCTGAAAGGATTTGCAGCACCATGAGGAGAGCAACAATACCAACCAACCACAGCTCCCAGGGTCTAAACCACCAGCCCGGGAGCACTTAGGGAGGGATTCAGGGCTTCAGCTGAATAAGTAAAAGTGGAGGGCCCTGCTGGGCATAGGTGGAAGATGAGATCC